GAAGGGCACAAAGGTGGGGGCTGCCAGGTATCCCCAGACCGCAGGCAAAGCCCCGCGAAGGCGCAGGCCCAGCCTTTGCGCGGTTTGTTTTTCTTTATCGCCTGAATGGACTAAGCCTTGCGGTGTGGGCAGGGGCTGCCCGGCTGGAGCTCCTGTGGCGCCACCCGACCCACTTCTCTCCTTATGTCTCCAGGTGTCATCGGGCTGGTGGCTTTGTACCTGGTGTTCGGTTATGGAGCCTCTCTCCTCTGCAACCTGATAGGATTCGGCTACCCAGCCTACATCTCGTAAGTGGCTCCCCCTGCAACCGTCCCTTCCTCCCCTTAACTCCCCTTTCCTCGTCCAGAGCTGCCCTAGTTGCTGTACATCCCCATTTCTCCGGGAGACCGGTCGAAGACCAAAGAGTAGTAACTGACTGCTTAAGGTTACACATTTTGGAGCCTTGACTTGACACATGATCGTCTGATGACTAGCCGAAATGTATGTTCAATCAGATTATTCTGGCAGGGCGTCTGCCTTCTAACGGAGGCACAAATGAAGGCAGAAGGAAGTCGACCTTTACCGGTCGGAGATCTCAACCGGTACAGAGAGGCGTTTCCTTCTCCTTAAGAATTATTTTAGTGTGTATTTCACCTTATATTTATGTACATAGTAAAATCCCAGCAATTAGGGCTTCCTTAATTCAGAGTTAATGCTAATTCAGACACAGGGAAATTTTGTCTTCTTGATGTTAAAACGACTGGCCACTTATTACAGGCAAATGGGAGACACCCTGGTATAAAAACAAAAACAAACCTTATAAAATGCATCCTTAATATATCTCCTTGGTTACATAAATGACTCATATAATTAATCTAAATTACAAATGAATCTTATCTGATTACAACCTGAATTTTCTACTAGTTGACATTGTTTTTACTCTGCAGTGTTTATTTTGAAAATATTCTACAATTTCATTTTAATGTTCATTCAAATAGGAATTATTCCACCCCACAAGTGAACTTTGTTTTACTCTACAGCTCTTCCCAAGAAAGCTGGTTGGTTTTACTTTCATTGAATTGGTCTCTACAACTTTCCTCAACCATAGGGATAAAAATAAAGGAAGAAAAAAAATTCAGCTGGAAAGCTAAGACACAGATGACACATTATGACACCTGAGTCTATCATAAGCCAGACTACAACTTAACTAGAAAGTGGTAATATGTTTTAGAAGAAGTTCGTTGTGACCTGAACATTTAAATTGAAATTACCAAAGTAGTAGTTACTGAATTAGTCTGGTTCATACACTTAGTGACATTCCAGAAAATCTAGCTACTAATAGGACACTGCTTGCTTTTGAATTTGGAGATCCTCTCCGACATTTAGCATTACTTGCTGAAGTACTGTCCATACAGTATGTGTTACACCAAATGATTCTGAAGACAGACCAGAAAAACTGGTTTGGCTTTCAGATCATTGGAAAAGATACACAAATAGCAGTTTTCTATAAAATAATAGATTGTGTATATACAAAGTTTGTAAGCAGCAATGATTCAAAACAGCTTGCATATCACTGGGTCTGTGATAATGGACTAAATAACTTAGTAGAACACTCCTTTACTTTTCTTCTGTTTGTGTCTTCTACTTGTAAGAGTTCTTTTAGTAAGAAAGATTTTGAAGCATTTTTCAGGTTTGTGCTTTAGATGTTATTGATCAAATTTAGTAACTTTCCAGCTGTGTGAATTGTTTCGAACTAGTGAAGACTATGGATCTTTAAAAATATAGAAGAGCATTTCTTCCATATCATAATCTTGTAAGAAACATAACCTTGTTATTTGGTGTGATTAGATCATTGGTATGGGCTTTAGAAAAGTAAAAATCCCTTTCTGGGTGGGATGTGTAAATCTATGTATGTACAAGTGGATGTGACTAAAGTTGGAGAGCTTGAACATGCTTCTCCTTGACCTGACGCAAATTCTAGTAGGAACCAATTTTTAAGTCATATTTTAAAATAATTTCAAGCAAGTCAATTTCAGTTTTTTATCATTTAAGTTATTCCTTCATTCATTTTTTACACAATCAGTTGAATATTATTGGCCCTTTTTACTTACAAGAAGCTAAAGGTCCCTGTCTATTGCTAGGAATTCTATGAAATGGTAGATATGGTCATGTTTCTGAGTAGTTCAAATAAGTAGGTTTTATATATTTTAGAATTATTCTATTACTAAGTAGATACACTTTATTTTCTTTTCTATCTGTATATTCTGAGGAAAAGAGACATTCGTAGTATACCTTATTAGGAGTTGAAAGTGTTAAAAAATCTAATAAAGGGAAATTTAATGATTTAAATAAAAATTTAGGAAATAATGAGTATCTCTAGATTAGTATTTATTCATAGGACGCTTCCTTTTTGTAGACTCAACTCTTTTACCTTAAAAATGAACACAAGATTCTATTATCATAAGGGAGGTTAGTGAAGGTTGGTCTCTGTTCAGCTTTCCCCTAAAACAGTGGTTCTCAGCCTTGGCTGCCCATTGGAATTAGCTAGGGAGCCTTAAAAAAATGCCTGGGCCCTGTCCCCAGAGTCTCTGATGTAACTGGTGTGGGGTGTGGCCTGGGTTTTGGAATTAAAAAAAAAATCTCTCGTGCATCTCTAGTGGGAAGCTCTGGCGCACAGCAGCAGCAGAACCTGTGCTTGCTACATTTGAAACAGGGGGTGAAAAAACGGGAGAGAATGGCCTGCTGACCCTGGGCATCGTACAGAGGCCCACTTGGCCTCTGCTTTGTGAAGGAGGTCCAAGCTGATGAGGGGTTGTGTGCACAGTAAAAGCATAGAGATCCCCAGTAGGTCAACATTCAGGCAGTCGCCTTACATTAGTCTAATTAAGTCTGTTCATTGCTTAGTCCATGTAACTGCATAATTGTCAGAAAGAAAGTTCTTGAAAATGGTGGTATCAGTAGCACCCAAATCAGTGTGATCACTTTAATTGTTCTTCTTGTCTCTTGGAATTCTCCCCAGCCAGAGTTATTTTTAAAAATACAGCTCAACTATTTATCAAACATCAAATGCCAGCCATGTGCCAGGCACTGTGGCAATACCTGAAATACCCCAGAGACTAACTCCCTGTCTTCCTTGCATGAACAGCCTGCAGGGTAAATTGCAGTAGTAGAGACAAGGTGGTAAGCCCTCCAAAGAGCGTCCACTGGGAGCTGTGGCAGAGGTTAACAGGAGGGACTCCTGTTGATACTTATCTGAGCTACTGTTCAAGACTTGAGGGATAAGAATGTGCCAGCCAAGAGCAGAGCCCAGCTCAGGGAGCAGTGCGTGCCCGGCCCTGGGGCAGGGCACTTGGACTGTTGGAGGAACTGGTGTGTTGGAAGCTCAGAGAGGAAAGGGGTGAGGGAGGACCGAGAGGTGCAGGGCCATCAGACATGGCTGGTGGCCTGTACACAAGTGTGCGTTTTATTGCAGGTAGTTGTTTGGAGTTTGCATGTTTTCTGATTGCCTTGGATGGGTTCTAAACAGGGGGTGACATGATACGATTTACACTTTAAGGTCATTCTGGCTGCTCTGATCTCTGGAAGGAATTGGCGATCCTGCCAAACTGTTGCTGATTCCTTTCTTCCTCACCTTTCAGCTTTTGCTCCTGCTGCTGCCTCTCCTTGGGCCACCACAGAGGGGCCCTCTACTGTGCTTAAGTCAGTATTGGGCTTAGAGGCTGCAGGGTGCAGAAGTAAAATTTGGAAGCGCTCATTTGGCTTCCTAGCTTTTCTCGTGGCTCACCACCTTGGGAAACCTCTGGGTGGGGCTCAGGTGCACCTGGCTTCCATCAGATCTTGGCGTGTTGGAGCACTTGGCCAGTGCTCAGGGAGGGGCAGCCGGTGCCTTATCAGGTAGCTCCTTCCTACTGGTTACTCTTACTTTCTGTGTACATAATTTCCCTTTGAGAGCAGGGCCTTCAGTCCTCTGCCTCTGTGTTTTCAAGACTTTTTGGCCACCCTTTAGAGGCAATTTGAAATCTAATTTGAGCCTTCTCATTATCAAGAGCTGTTGACAGAGTAACTTTAATCTCTTTACTTTCTTCTGTTTCTGATAAGAGAAGGCAGACTGCTGGATAATAATAGGAACCTTTATTATTATGGTAGACCTGCCCTTTTCCCTATTTTTTGCTGAGATACAATTCCCATGCAACCCTTTTAAAGTATACAGTTCAGTGGTTAGTATATTTGTAAAGTTTTACAACTAACACCACAATCTAATTCCATATTTTCATCACTCCAAAAGAAAACCTTGTACCCATCAGTAGTCACTCCCCATTTCTTCAACACCCCAGTCCTCAGAAACCAATAGTCTACTCTCTGCCTCAGTGCATTTGCCTATTGTGGACATTTCATGCAAATGGAATCATATAACATGTGGCTCTTTGTTTCTGGAGCAGCCGTGCTTTTCCTGGCATTGCGCAGACACGAGTCTGAGACGCCTCTCAGGAGCACCCTCACACACACAGAGTCCAAGCCTGAGACCCAGAGTAGCCTCCTCCCACTGGTCCTGGAGTGTGGGGGCTGTTCCTGTCGCTGCTTCCTTATTCAAGTGGAATTATGGGGGAAAGTCTAATGACTTTGTTTTCTGGTTTTATTTTTGCCCTGCAGAGAAGGGAAGGAGGAGGATTTGCTTTTTGTCTAACTCAGCAACCTTTTTTGCTCAAATTCTATAAAAATGTCTATTATTTTTCTTTTTCTTTTTTTTTTTACTTCGTATATTTCTTAAGGATTAGGCTGCCATCTCTCTGGGACTTTCAGACTTGGGCCTTAGAGATTAGTCATGTAGTCTGATTATTTTAGTTTTTAGAAGACCCAGGGACAGAGAGAGATACAAGGTTTTCCAAGGTCACACAGAGGCCAGACTTGGCCAGGAGCCTCCTGTTACTACCCAGGAATGTGAAAGCACATTTAGGCATATTTTAGTACCAAGCTAGAAAACATGAAATACGCTTGGAGCCCAGCATTTTAATGTTTATATTTAATCTGATGTTTGGCAACACTTTTCCAATCTCATACCCACCTCAGTGATGTGTCATTTTATCTTGTCTGTCCTCATCAGCCCAATTTAAGCTTTTGCTATCAGTATAAAGAGTGTTACTGCTTTTAGCTGTTTGCAGGGTTGATGAACACCTGTGCAGCACTTTATTTAATCAACACTTAAATATCTCTGGTTAAGTGCTTTACAAATATAGCTCATTTAACCTTCATGACAACCCTACAATATATTCCTGTTTTACAGATCAGGAGATGAAGAGAGAACAGTAACTTGATTAAGGTCTCATAGCAGTAGATGGTGAAACTAATATTTAAACCAAGGGAATCTGACCCCACAGTTCATGTCTTTAACTTTGGTATATTTCTTCCCATGTGGCTCTTTGAGTGTCCCACAGATACAAGCCATAATCATATATAGAGATGAAAATTAACTATTGATGTAACTTTTTCTTTTATCAATTTGACTGTTAATACAAATACATGAACTTCATGCAGTGTATTTCTCAAATAAGGTACTGCCATCCCAAATCACACATCTGCACATGTAGTCATTTGCAGTGTTTTGTGAACGTGAGTTAAAATGTATTACTAACAAGTTCTCTCTCGTTAGCTGCGATGTAGCATTTTACGACAGCAGCATTATAAATCGTTATGTGCAGAGACCTGTTTTTTTTTTTTTCAACCAGTGCAAGCCCATCTAAAGATGGCACACTGAATTGGATCTCTTCAGGGAATACGGCCTTGCCTTTAGTTCTTTGCCAGGAAGGCAACAAATCTCAAGGGGGAGATGTTTGGGGATGATCTCTATGAGGTCAGATCAGAAAAGGAGATGTGACAGGGAATGTTTGAAGGAAACGCTGTCAGAATTACTACAAGAGTCATAATACAATCAACCACAAGTAAAAGCTGCAGCACCTTCTTAGCAAATGATGCACAGCACCTAACATGAGGGAATATAGGTTAAAAAGAGTTGAAATCTACAGTTTGCAGGGGTAGACTCCTGAACAGAGAGGCTCACTACCAGGAGAGTTTGGGCAAGTTGCCATGTGTGACTGACAGTTCTGAACGCTTTCTGTTTCTCGGAAGCAAGTCACATGAAGCAGAACGAGGCTTTCCTAATGGTGCTGGAGGATGTGTTTGTGGTTCTCTTCATAGACTCATTACTAAGGGGTGTGTTTGTTTGCTTGTGTTTTTTTAAAAACTTGTAATTATCTTTTTCTTTTCTTTTTTTAATCATGGGCACTTGGGAGCAGATATCTATTTTTCTAAGCTGCTTATGTTCTGTTACACCAGCTTTTCTCTCTGCAACTGTGTGTTCTTTGTTAAAAGTGCTTCAGGGCAGAGCAGCGCATGCCCACACATTCCTTCTCTGGGTGGAGTGAAGCACATGCAAATATTCCGGCCTGCTGGGCACTGGGACCAAAAATATAACTGGCATTCTGTAGATGGTGCCTTAAACAACTCTGCAGACTTAAACATTTAAACATTTTACCTTTGTCAGCTTTTTACTGGTTGTGTTTTCACTTAGTATGACTGCTAGTATTGCTGAACTATTTTAAGATGAAGGAATTGTGGAGAAAACTGAAAAACTAATAAAATATCCTTCTAACAACCTGTGGCTATTTTGCGGATAATTACAGCCAGCAATTTGGTTAAGTTTTTGTTCTTTCCCTTTGCCTGTGGAGCAAATAAGATGAATAATTTAAATGATTTATTCATAGCCTAGTTTCTGGGCTCTAAAACAATTGTGGAGGGAGAGCTCATTCCAGATACTCTGCTTTGGAGTGCTCCCTATGAACTGTAATGACCTTTTTTGTTCTCTTCATGAGCGCCTTGGAAATAGGGTCTGTTTGTCCTTCTGAGATGCCTTCATCTCCCCTGTCTGAGAGTTTTCTTTTTCAGGACTGACTTTGAGTGAGTTTTCAACTTAATATCCTCGGGTAGTATATAAATCAAGTATAAATATAAATGGGACATTTTAAGGTATTTAGTGCCTGTCAATAAGATTACCAAGAGAACAACAAATTAGTATAGCAGAAGTTTAAAAACAACTTCAAAAATTGCTAATGAGATTACTTTCTGTAGCAGTTGAAATACAAGCAGGGGCTGTAGAAAGCTGTCCTGCCTTCGCTCTGTCACTCGCTCTCGCTTATGATTCCTGACGTGGAGCCATCCTCCGCCCCCTCACACGGCTACTATATATATCCTGCCGCTGCAGGCAGTTAGGCCAGGTGGTGCAGTGGCGGGATCCCTTACATGTCAGGGGTAACTCTAGACTGCTCTCTGCATCTTGATGGGGCCCTCCTCTGTCTGGGAAAGTTCAGTTTAGGTTGCTGCTGTGTAGGTTGTAAGGCTGCTTGAGCGTAAGGTAAACTTTATGACATATTTACAGAGCCGTCATTTTATTGACAGAGGGTTGTCCCTGCAGGATTCGCATCTGCTGTTTTATTGCTTCGGTGTTCTTCTTTTCTAACCATCTATCAAATAGTTTAATACATTCTGTTATAAAAGGATGAGTTATAAAATGTTAGCTAGGAGAGATCTTACAAATCAAGCTGCTGGAGTTACAGCCACCTTTCACAGATTTGGAAACCAAGGCCACAGAATGAAGTTACATGACTCAGGTCACAAGTCTGTTGAGGCACAACCAGGTGTAGGTCTAGGGGTGCCCGGCTCCCCTGGCCTGCGCACTGCCGGTGTTCCTCGTGCTTTAAGTCTGACTGTGACTGAAGCCTCCATTTTGCATTAAAAAATAAAGTGGTGGGCAGTTAGGGAATAAGATTACTGTAATTCGACACCAAAGTATTTGACCACTAAATGACTGGTTTTTTTTTGTAATTCAGTCTCCATTAGAGGTATTTTATAGACCCATCTTAAAATACATTTGCCTGTGAGTTTAGCTTATTTTATATTATGCATTTCATTGGGTCAATCATTTTATTCTATAGGAGAATACTGTATTACAGAGTAAAGGAGCATGGTATATTTTTTCCATTGTTCTTGTATAGTCGTCTTAGAAGATAGTTTCTGTATATCCACTGCTAGCGATCGTATCTTTTTTGGGGTGGGGAGAAGGATTAGGCATGATATAAACAGTGAATAAGCAAATTGGCTTTATTATATATTTAGTTTTTTTCTTTTCTTTTGCTTGTTTCTTTGTTTTCTCTCTTGCTGTTGGTCCTCTCTCTTTTGCTTTGAAAGCATACCTACTCTGTAGTGAAAAAGTGTACTTTTCTGAGTGCCTATAGTTTCTGATCTTTTTTTTCCCATGAAGAAGAAAAATCTTTTCCTTATTGGCATGGAAACAAACTACCGTTCATGTTTTAAAATGTGATTTTTTTCCTTCTAATTTGACACACTGTATAAGTCAAATTTGCAATGGTAGACTCTCGAACAGAGGTAACAGGAAATAGGAAAACCATTTTGAGCTATCAAGAATTTCTTCTTCACATTCTCTGACAGACACAGCCAAAAGCAGTCCTGTGCTGCAGACGGTCACATTTTGTGTCTGTTGTATCAAAAAGGATTATAAACATTATGATCCATATTCTTCATTTTCAAGCTTCAAAGAAATCTACCTTGAACTTTGGTATATTTGTTATTAAACATAACTTACATGTAAGAAATAAAACAAAGTAAATAGACCAGAAGTAGATTCCTTTCTGTTCTTTACCAACAGCACATCTCAAAGCTTTTTATTGCTATAGGTTTTATTATGAACTGCTTTTTTGGATGCACTGTCAAGTCTAGTAATATAATCAACTCATTAAAATTAAAATCCTGTTGATAGGTACAACTGGTTTCAGTAGTAAAATCAGTGCTCTGAAGACATATAATATTACTTAATTTTACATCACCTGGCCAGTTTGAACTGTAGGAAGTTACATGTGCACCATGTACAGTATCACTGGTGTGTCCCAGTTTCTTTGGTGTGGGTGATCAGAAACGTATGTGTATGGACCTGATCATTACTAGCTGAATTAACCCATGGGCAAATAGCTTAACTTTTATAAAACTCAGTTTTCTCATATGTAAAAGGAAAGGATCGTGTATGTCAGACAATTAGTACAGAATCAAAATCTCAGTAAGTGCTTAAGTAAGGGTGGTTACTTTTAATTAGCAAGAAGAAAATTGACTTAATCATAGTCATGGTTCTCTAACTCCAGGCCACTGAACTTGTAAATGATAAAGGGAAAACCTCCCAAGTAGTATTTTCTTTCACTTATTCTTTCCACTTATTCTTTTTTATTCATTGTCTTATTTTTCTCCTGTACTTATTTCAGCAACTCAAGACATCATGAGCATATTAAGAGCAATAAAGTTGAATAAAGTTTTGTTGTTCCAAGTTGTAAATATGTGGTATGGCTAGTGGTTTTCTTAAGTTTTGGGTCAGTGGTGTAAATATTTCTATGCACTGGGCATAATTTTAACTAACGATTTTAAAATATTAAATCTATTTTATACTTCATTTTGTTTCCATTGACATTTCCAGTTTGTTGTAACCTCCTTCACAGGACCCCTCCCCAAGAACATGTGTGCTGCTTACTTATGCACAGAGCTGGCTTTATTTATTTATTTAGTTATTTATTTATTGGAGTGGGGAGGTCATTAGGTCTATTGATTTATTGTTAGTTGCTTTTTTTTAAATGGAGGTACTGGGGATTGAACCCAGGACCTCATGTATGCTAAGCATATGCTCTACCACTGAGCGATACCCTCTCCGCTATGGAGCTGTTTTTTAACTGTTTACTTTGGGTCCTAGAGCATCACCATTTTGGCCCCAAAGCTTCAGCAGCATCAGGGCATCGTCAGTGCTCAGTACATGCTTGCATGGGAGTAAGTCTGTCGCTGACAGTCTGTGGTGGGTCACTTAGACGGGACTTCCTGGCCATCTCACTTCATCCCCACCGCCAAGAATGTGGTGGAAAAAAGTAAACCAGTCAGGTTTTGGTTTGTACTGACAGTGAATAATATTATTTTTTTCATTTCCTTTCTATCTTAAGAAAAATTATAGCAAAATCAAGAAGATTAAGCCAGAGAGTCTTATTCCCTGTTAGGAGCTGCCTCCTGTACTTTAGTATGTTATTTGGAACTCAGGACGTAGGAATAAGTAACTGCAGAACTTCCAAGCTTTTTGGATTTCTCATCTATCTTAATGCGTCTCGTTCATGGTAGACAAACATGTCTATAATACATAAATATAATAGGCACAATTTATACTCCATTCTATTGCAGGAAATTGACATTTTTCAACTTATGGACATGGATGAAGGTGTTGAAATACCCATTAACCAGGAATAACCTTTGAGCCTGAAAAAGTTAATAGTGTTAAAAGTGCTCAATTTATAACTCCATCAAAGAGAATGTAACATCCATCCTAATGATACAATTTAACTAAAGTCATTGATGGAAGAAGAAAATCTCAGTAACTGAAAGTATGACAAATACCGCAAAGGCATAGAAAATGTGGCATTCCTCCTCATATCCTATTTGCTAGTTTTTATTTCTTAATGATATAACAACTGAATATGTATAACAGTAAATTCAGGTAAAAGTTGGGTAGCATATTATTTGATATATTATTTTTTATATTTGTTAATTGCTTACACCTCTGAAGGCATGTTACACATAATAAATATGGACTTTGTCTTAAAAAGAATTTACAAATATATAAATAGGTTGTACAATGCATATACAGAAAAGCATTTTTATCTATTTTGCTTACTAAGAGCATGAATCTGAATTAAGAGTACATATGTAAAGGTGGATGTTTTCTCTGATGGATGTGTTGTGTCTGAAATAATTCTAAAAATAGTATGGCGAGTTATCTCTTTCCTGCCCTCCTAAGTGAGCACTGACCATAAACAATGATATATGTAATTAACAGATGAAACCTCAGCAAGGGAAACAGGGCTGTTCCTGACCATTATCTAAATATCTCGCCTAAGTTTGGTTTAGAAAGCTTTTGCTGGTGCTGCTCACCTTTTATGTCAGGGTTCAGTCAGCTGCTTCCATTAATAGTGGCCTAAGTGATAAAGACCTCGAATTACCTACGTAAGTCTGGAGGCTGATGTTCCAGAGCTGGTGCAACAGAGGTTCAGGCTTTTTTCTGGTTACCTTGCAGTGCTGGCTTTCCTCCCCATGCCCGTTGCTCCAAGGTATAGCAAGACTGCTGTCCCTTCTTAACGAGTTTTCAACTAGTTCATCTTTAGGATGTCTTCCTTTTGCCTCAAAAAATTATGTATCCCATCAACTGTCCTTAGTTTACACGATTTCTTTCTGGCAAAGTGCTTCGGTGATTTGCAGTTTAGTCATGTCTGTGGGTCAGGCAACATTTAGATTTTGTGAATGATGACTCAATTTGGGAGGGAGAGAATGCTGGTAGCCCAGGGCTGTATCTTCTCAAACTTGGTTTTCTTCACACGTGTTTAATGCTATCCTTTGGCCGTTTTTGGTTCCTGCTCTTGCTTTTAGAAAACAGTAAAGAAAGAACTAGATAAGCCAACAAGGTGGAGGCAGCCAGTACCAGGCACTAGGGCCGGGTGGTCCGGATGAGGGCTGGCCAGTGGGTTACGTCCACATCGGTACCAATCCAATAGTAATGTGGGGACTTTGTCCTCCTGTGCAGCATGGGTCCGTAAAATGTTTTCAGCAGTGTCCAAATTTGTTCCTACTGACTTGCCAATAGGATTTTGGCGTTTCAGCTAAGCTTTTACTCTTTGTAGTATTTGAGATTTGGAGAATGAGGTACAATTAAAATCCATGAGTAATTCTCTAATCTCCTTTTAGCCTTATTAACAATGCAGTTAATCCTTTACCAGCTCTACATAGACAGAAGAACTGGAGTGTTCTTACTGCTCTCTGTTTGTTTTAATCCCTTGCCTCCTTATGATAATAATAAATGATTACTATATTATAATTATTACCTATTAAGGTAATATTTCTGAGTGCTTACCCTGTTTAAGTGCTTAACATGTATTAACTGAGTTAATCTTCACAGCAACACAGTCAGGTTTATCATCCCTGCTTGACAAATGAAGACACTAAGGCCAAGAAAGACTTGCCCAAGGTCATATACCTAGTAAGTGGCAGAACCAGGATACAAAGATGCAAGCCAAGGTGGTGAAATGATGTAAAGCCAGATGAGCACTGGAAAGAAATGAAGGGAAATGCTTGGCTGTTTCATAGTTCAGTGTGATAATTTTTTGATAGGCTGCTTTAAGTGGAAAATTAGAATGAGTCAGTTTCACGTGATGAGCTCTGTGACTTTCTTTTCTCCTTCTGTGTCTATGTGTATTGAAGGCCTTTTAATGCTCTAAAACACAACAGATCGTGTCTGATCATTGTCAGAGAAGTTTGTTTATGAGAAAATGATGAGCTGTTTCCTCAAGAGAGCAATTAAAGAAATGTGTCTGATGTTCATTTTAGTGTTTGCTTTTAACAAAGCCCTAAAGAGAGATTAGTCTTATAGGAGGAAGTAGTTATAGAAAGTCTGGTGCCCTATGGTTTTTTTTTCCACCAGATAGAAATCTTTTTCATGTCTTTTTTTTTTAACTAAAAATAGTACATGCTAACAGACTCACAGATATAAAGAACAAACTAGTGGTTACCAGTGGGGAGAGAGAAGGGGGAAGGGGCAATATAGGGGGTGGGGAATAAGAGGTACAAACCATTATGTATAAAATAAGCTACCACGATATATTGTATAACACAGAGAATACTGCCAATATTTTACAATGACTATAAATGGGGTATAACCTTTAAAAATTGTGAATCACTATATTGTACATCTGTAACTTTATATAATATTGTCTACCTGGAGATAGAATCAAATTGCACAGGTACAGGCCCAGTCCAGCAAGACTGCCCTTCACTTCAGACACCACTCGTGAGCCTAGGTTGTTAACCTGTGCTTCTGACCAGCTGGCTATCCCAGAAGTCAGGGATGGGACTGAAAGTTCCAGCTCCTAATCACACGGTTGGCTCCACTGACAACCAGCTCCCTCCTTAGGTACTTTCCAAAGGTCTCAAGTTAACATAACAAACAAAAGACACCTTTATCACTCTGGACACTTCAGAAATTGCTAGGATTTGGGGAGCTGTGCAGAAACCCAGGATGAAGACCAAATATATATGGGAAATATATTTTGGCCTTCTGAATGACCAGATAAATATTTTGCTTATAAATCACAACACTGCATCCACTCACTTGGACAAGGAAGTATCTAAGTCAGTATCATTTAGGAAACCTCAGTTTTAAGTTCTTTTCTCTTCTCACTTTTTTAAGTCTTAGGCTCCTCAACTGTACACTGAGTGGGTTAGACTGCCTCTCATGTTCATTCTTTTTCTGACTAGCTTATGATGTTATGACATGTAGACACATTTTAAAAAATGAATATTGTGCTATTTTAAATTAAAACAGTAATTAAATGCTTTAATAACAGAAGTAGTTCTATTTATAAAAAAACTCTTCACCTTAATAAGACTCTGTGATCTTTTCCTGTCTTCTTTCCTGGGCCTTGGTTTTTTACAAAGCTGTGATTAATGTGTGTGTTCAATTTTGAGTTCTTTTCTTCCTACTTTTCAGCGTTACTATATAGTATTCCAAGTGTGTCAACATGGAAACTTTTGAACTCATATCATTAACTTAGGGAACCGACTGTTTTTAATTCCTTGAAGGACGGAACTTGAACTGTTATGGTAATTTTTCTATTTCTGAATCTGTGGATCTTGACTAACATCTTAAAAATAATGACATAGAGAGGAATTGAAATACCAGAGTGGGTTCATGAACTGTTTATTTGAGTTTATACTTGTGTGTGGATATATGTGTTTGCTGGGCCATGTATGTTTACTGAGTCAGGCACTGCTCTGGTTCCCAAAACTGAGACCTTAAGCAAAATATAATTATGTATCCCCCTTGCCTGGCATGGATGTGTAAGAAACACATTTTTATCATGCTAATAACTTTAGAAATCCACTTAAATGTAAAAAGGTAAAGAATATTCTATACCAGATAAAGCACAGAGGGAAAAATCTTGCATGGAAAGGGCACTCATTTGTTAGTTCTTTGGTCCATGTATTTGCCTGTGCTCTTCCTTTGGCCTTCTGCTACATCCGCTAGTGTCCATGGTAGAAAGCTAACAGACACAGACAATTTGCAGGAGACAAGCCATTATTTTATAATCAGCTCTCTTAAAGTCATTTTATGATTCTGTGTCTACGGTGAAAAACTTTGCCTACTCTTGATGTTCAAAGCATGTCTTCTTCCTCTCCTCCTTTTCCTCACATTGTTAGCAGTCAGCTCATTCAGCTGTAACTTTCCCCTCCTTGGTTATTTTCTTAAACCACTCATGCAGGCACGCACCTATACCCATAGCTGCTTCTCATTAATTCAGAGGCTTTCTTAGTGAGTGACTCAGCATGAGTCATCAGCCTAACTGTCTCTTTGGGGAACCCATTTTACCAATTAGCCAATGTATTTTCAATAATTAACACACCACATAGGCTAAACAAGATTCAGACTTCTTCTAGTCTACTGTTGTAGTCCAGCTCAGTTATGATAAGTATCCAGACATATATTAGGATAGGATAAAATCATAGAATTCAGGTTTAGAGAGAAGGGAGTCCCAGGACTAGAAGAAATTTCTGTGATTCAGAAGTAAAAGAAGGGTATTTAAATTTTAGCAATGAAGTTGATTTACACTATACACACACACACACACACACAAAAACTCAAAATGGCTTAAAGACTTAAACATAAGACAAGATACAACAAACCTCTTAGAAGAAAACATAAGCAAAACATTATCTGACATAAATCTCAGCAATGTTCTCCTAGGGCAGTTTACCCAGGCAATGGAAATAAAAGCAAAAATAAACAGATGGGGCCTAATTAAACTAATAAGCTTTTGGACAGCAAAGGAAACCATAAGCAAAACAAAAAGACAACCTGTGGAATGGGAAAAAATATTTGCAAAAGATGAGACTGACGAGGACTTAATTTCCAGAATCTATAAACAGCTCATACAACTTAACAAAAAACTGAACACCCCAATCCAAAAATGAGCAGAAGACCTAAACAAGCAATTTTCCAATAAAGACATACAGATGGCCAATAAGTAAATGAAAAATGCTCGATACTGCTAATTATCAGAGAAATGCAAATCAAAACTACAACGAGGTATCACCTTACACCAGTCAGAATGGCCATCATCCAGAAGTCCACAAACAAATGCTGGAGAGGCTGTGGAGAAAAGGGAACCCTCCTACACTGCTGGTGGGAATGCAGTTTGGTACAGCCACTATGGAAAACAGTATGGAGATTCCTCAAAAGACTAGGAATAGACTTACCATATGACCCAGTAATCCCACTCCTGGGCATATATCCAGAAGGAACCCTACTTCACAATGACACCTGTGCCCCAATGTTCATAGCAGCAGTATTTACAATAGCCAAGACACGGAAACAGCCTAAATGTCCATCAACAGATGACTGGATAAAGAAGATGTGGTGTATTTATACAATGGAATACTACTCAGTCATAAAAAATGCCATTTGCAGCAATATGAATGGACCTGGAGAATATCATTCTAAGTGAAGTAAGCCAGAAAGAGAAAGAAAAATACATATGCTATCACTTATATGTGGAATCTTAAAAATAAAAAAGACAGACAAACTTATCTACAAAACAGAAAGACTCACAGACATAGAAAACAAACTTATGGTTACCAGCAGGGAAGGAGGTGGGAAGGGATAAATTGGGAGTTCAAGATTTGCAGATACTACTATATATAAAATAGATAAACAGCAAGTTCATACCGTATAGCACAGGGAACAGTATTCAGTATCTTGTAGTAACTTATTGTTAGAATATGAAAACGAATATATGTATGTTCCTATATGACTGAAGTATTGTGCTGTACACCAGACATTGACACAGCATTATAAACTGACTATACTTCAATAATATATTTTAAAAAACAAGATAAAATTTAGCTCTATTCATTTATGGAATGACTTCTGTTTAAGCATAGTACTGAAAAAGTCCTATTAACTGATCAGGGGAGGAAAGATCAGTCTGAGGACCACATGTTGACAGTTGGAACCAAACGGACGTCACAATGTTTGTGCTCACCTATTTGTTATGAAGTATGTTATGAACTTTGGAAAGTGCCTAAACTATGTTCCAGAAGGGTTTTTTATGGAAATGCCTGTGCACCCATGATGTACGTCAGTTATTGGAAGTGCCTAAGAACTGAGTTACATGAGTGAATTCTTGATACAATCCTGGTGTCAGGACCCCACTTGAGAGTGCAGATTACTCTAGTTCCCAGTGGTTTGCAGTATCTCCTGGGGCCTTGGTGGAGGCTAGAGCAGGTGGAGATCCAGGGGCAACTGGTGCTGGTTTCTCTGGTGATCAGAAGGGTGGTACTAGTTAGAACAGCTTGTCCCCGTATCTCCACACTGCTGCCTGTGGTCATGTTGTACTCCTGCATCTGGTGACATGGTACGTACATTTACTTGAGTTTCTCAGTTGGTGCTGGAGGGCAGTTGTGAAAGCACCATGTTTGAAAATGTTTCATTGAGATCTTACGTGATACACCTGCTTGTGTGTTGCCTTTCAGAATTAAAGCCATAGAGAGTCCCAACAAAGAAGATGATACCCAGTGGCTGACCTACTGGGTGGTGTACGGTGTGTTCAGCATTGTCGAATTCTTCTCTGACCTCTTCTTGTCATGGTTCCCCTTCTACTACATGCTGAAGGTAGGTTGGCTTTTCCTGAGCTCCTCTGTTTTCTTCCATCTCTGTGTTTGCTTTCCTCCCTACCACTGAAATGAACTCCATCTCAGGACCTGTGTGCAAGGCATAGGAACAAATGCTTGAATGTTGGACATCTGTGGCTCTGCCTCAGATTATATAAACAGGAAGACAAGATGCAACATGTCTGACTTATTTTGTATACTACCTTGGAAACAGCCAAAGCAACTGTGTCCTTAAGATGTGCTTGATAATAATAAAGGATGGTAATACTGTGACCTAGCCGAAGCACTGCTGTTAGTTTGCCAAGATCCTGTCTTCATGCCATGTTGTCTGAGCATTACAAATTTTATGAAGTCATTGATTATTCACAGTGGTGTGCTGGAGTCACTATTTTGGGGGAAAAATATACTTAATTTCCTATATAGGTTTGGAAAAAGAAGATGTGAAATGGGCTTGCTGAGGAAGTCATTTTAATAATGCTGGCAGGTGCAGTAGTCCGGGATCAGCCCTGCCACACCTTGTGTTTGGCAGAGGACTGGCCTTGGTTACCACTACGTCAGGAAAGGGAGTAGGAGGTTGAAGCTCATCCCTAACGGGACCTATATCAACTCTGGACTTGCAACAGAGGTGAATGAGAATGAAAAAGTTCACACCCTTTAATAGAGTGGTTGGCTCTTTTTCCCTAAATGCGACAAGCTGTCTTGAGTTGATTCGAGTGTCTTCATGGAAGGATCCCTCATGCCCTTAGTCACATAGGATGTAAACAGTGCCTCAGATTCACCGAGCCAGACCTCCCAAGGTGTGGGGAGTAGTGAATTCTGGGTTCTCTTCTTTCCCTTCATACTCTTAAGTGTTCACTTTAATTAGTTACACACAACATATTTTAAAGGCTCAGATAGTTCTGTAAGAGTTCTGAAGGTCTGGACTCCTGCTCTCTGAGTTGGCTTCCTTAAAAGCCACCACTGTCCCTTCACTTATGGCAGATTTTGTCATTTGCCTCTGTCTCTAAATCATATTCTTACTTAGCCACCTTTTAATTTTTCTATTTTACACATTGGCTCTTGATTCGCACTGGAAGATAAGGATTTAGCTTTCTTTCCTCCCTCGTCCCTGCCAAACACATGCAGGCTAGTCTCAAACTGCATATTAAACGTATCCCTACCTTGGAAATACATCTTCTCGGAGAAAACTGAACAGTGACAGCATTAGAATCATAGAATTATTTGTCCTGTTGTAATTTATAACTTAAGGATTTAGTGTCAGTGCTAATAGTGCCCAGAGTTCAGCTGAAACAGCAGATTCTTTGTGTGAACTGCAGGTAAGAGTGGGCTTGTGTTTGCCCTTGGGAGTATCGTCAGCTGGCAGTTTGAGGGCAGCGTGATTAAAAGGACGGCCAGATCTGTGTAGCTCAGAGGATTCCTGAACAGCACCTCGAGAGTTGAGGAGTAATTAACTTTATTTTTAATACAAGGAAGTTATTTCATTTGAGAACTGGAGAATGCTAAGGATGTAGGTAAAGAGCAGTAATTATTTTACTGTCTCAAGACAATAGCTAGAGGGAAGCGGAAATAACTAAATGAGCAGTCTGGAGGATAGCCTCCAAAGTAATCACACTGGAGAGCTACAAAAGTGTCGACTCTTGGCTCTGGTCCTGTCTGGTAGTCATGCTTAATTCATCCAGAAAAGGGGAATGAATCAGCTGTTCTGAATTGCTGAAGGGTTGATACTTGCTCTGAGAGTATTTCAGAGATTTTCAACAGCACTAAGAACTGTAGGAATTGGTAATCCTACTACTGCCTTGTGTACTTCCTTCAAGTACATTAATTTGTGACTTTCCTCAAATCTGGCAGAAGAGGAAATCGACTCTCAGAGAGGTTGTTTGATTTACCTAAAGTCATAAAACTGGTACCAACTCTCCTGATTCTTAATCTAATGCGTTATTTCCACTTCACCTTGAGGCATGTGGTTATAACACGGGCATGTGTCTCGACATCAACAATCCATTCCTGACATTCAGATATTCTGTGTAGGAATACCAGTCAGGAGACTGTTTCCTACCATTTTAAATGGTAAAAATTAAAATGTCTTACATGTCAATTTAAAACTCCATACCACTTTCCTAAATATTAATAAATACAGCAAAATATAAGTGACAAATATCATACTGGATGTTAGATGTTAAAAACTAACTCCAAATTGTTTCTGCTCTTCAGACAGTTAATCTAGTCGGTAAGAAACTACTGCTTTGTAAGCACATCCCCTGGGACACTGCATTCTCTTCAGAATGTCCACATGGAAATCTGATACTGTGTCCAGGATTTAAGTTCTCCTTTTCCTGCACATCCTTTTGTTCAGTGTTTTACTGAGTTTTCAGTGTGTATGTATGTATTAGCATTACCTGTATAAGCAACCAATGGCAAACATGAATGTTTGGGTATTAAAAACTGAAAAAGTCTTCCACAGGGAAATGTTAACTAAAGAGATAGTTGTAGGGTTTGCCTGTTACCAACCTGCGCTCTCAGCAGAGGAAATGAAAGCTAAAGCCAGTGAAAAATGCAGTCACACTTAGTTCTCCATTTTGGGTTAATGCGTATGTGTAGTTCAGAAAGATTTCTCTGGCAACATCTTCACAAAGATAACTGGCCAAGCCCAGGGTGTGCTAGAGCAGAGTTGCTGGGAAGACTAACAGTGAATGTGGAACTACCCACACATACTAAAGACTGAGGGTATTTCAAGGGGTTGTCTTTATTTAAGTGCTTGGACCTGAAACAAAAGGTCTTACTTGCCACTGTGTGTCGGTGAGGCCTCACTGGAGTTCTGGGTGCTTGCACATACAGCTGTAGTGAGACTGTGAGGTGCCCCTGCTGTGCTGGATGCTCCAAGTGTTTATTTTCTTATAAAATCTGTATGAGGTAGATTTTTTAAAATTCTACTAATACTTATAGAATCAAAACTGACTTAACCAGTTAAGTAACCTGCATGAGGTCCACCCAGCTGTTAAGTGGCAGAACCAAGACTGGAACCCAGCTTCTCTGAGCCCAGTTCTCTTAGCCTCTGTATACTGTTGCACATAATTCTCTTAGATCGCAGTTTATTGGATAGAGAGATCTGTATGTATCTTTAGATCAAGATTTTAAATTTTGTGTATTTTGTTCTGTATTCTTACTAATTTCTAGGTTTTTGATATTTCAATTTCTGTTGGAAGTGTTAAAATCTTTGATTGTGGATTTTGTCCATTTATCTTTGTAATTCTGACTTTTAAGTTTACATATTTCAAAGCTATATTTGGAAGCTATATATAATTATAAATTATATAACTAAAAATACAATTATGTAATTATAAATATAAAAAACACAAAGCTATATATAGTTTACATTATTTCAAAGATTCAGGCAAATTGTTCTCCTTTTTGACAAATTACTTTTCTTCTTTATCACTCTGTTTAGCTATTTTGTCTTATGTTTATGTACTATTAATATTACTATATGAGCTATTTTGAGAGTTGGTATCGGTCAGATGCATCTTTTTTCATCTCTTTTAGTGTTCCTGATTGATTTTTGTCTTAGGTGTCTTTCTTATAAGAAGCAAACAGCCAGAGTTTGTTGTTTTTTCCTCTTTTAAATCCAGTCTAGTAACCCCTGTCTTTTGAAAGCTTGCCCCTCTGTAATCTATTTAGAACCTGCTTTGTTTTGTATTTTGAGTGTAATAGCAGTTCACAATGGAAAGGAAATTTCTCAGTGCCAACATGGGACTGCTGGGGTGAGCTTTGGGTACACATGTATGCATTTTAACGCAAGCTCCCTGTCATGAGTAGTTATCTCCCGACCAGCTTTGCATCTCTAGAGCAAACTTCAAAGACTACCTTAGAAAAGCAACGTAGTGTCTTGATTATTTGAATACAATCTTTGGTCTGGAATAACAAGGACTAAGGCCATACTGTAAACTTTATGACACAAGAAACTGAGAGGTTTTTACTTTAGGGAGAAGTGGTAAAAAAACCTACAGATTTGCAACCTCAAAAAATGACTTTTATAGAGTCACCTAGCCTGTGTGGAATACAGTACATAGACAGACTCTTTTAAACTGAAAGAACACAGTATGTTGTTTATCAAACATTCTAGGGAAATGAGCATGTCATTCAGAATATTCCCTTTTTTGCTTTTTATCCTATAGAGGAATAAACTGCTTGGACAACCTAAAGTACTGAGTTGTTACTTATTTAAATAAACACTAAAGTGTTTCTCAAACATAATGTGACAGTTCTTGCTTTTTAAATTTTTAGGGTAGAATTCTTGTCAATTTGTCATCTCAATGGCAAAGGAGAGTCAAAGAGAAAGAGAGTCAGGAATAGTATCTACATTCAAGGGGAAAGATGACTAACAGCTGGCTGTAAAGACTCCTTGAAGGCTAAGATCTGACAAAAACTGAGTTTCCACTAAGGGAAGAATTCAAGAATGGCCAGGGTATTTTTTCTGTAAGAGGATGAATAAACGTGAGACTTACTGAGGTAAGCCTGTTGAGAATAAACCTCACAGATGCTCATATGAACAGGGTTTACCCACACAGATACATACTGTGTTTTTTTAATTAAGAGTTATAATTAATAAAAAGCCTCTTGTAGCTCTCAACCAAAAAGTGGTCCAAGTTAGGAAGGACGTTAAGCTGCTGGACGTGGTGTGTTTTACCTTTCTTTTTCAGTCAGCTTTTCCTTACTAGGTCATTGTTTGTCCTGCTTTTTCCATCCAAGAAAAGCACAGCTGTAGCCTGAAAGAAACACTGGAAATGCTCTTGGAGAAAATAGCAGAGGTGGTGCTACCCCGGAGTGGCGGTGGCTGTGTGTAGTCAGGTGCCCCTGCCCTCCATCACCATTGCTGCCTCTCCCCCGTGCAGTGCGGCTTCCTGCTGTGGTGCATGGCTCCCAGCCCGTCCAATGGAGCGGACCTGCTCTACAAACGCCTCATCCGTCCTGTCTTCCTGAAGCACGAGTCCCAGCTAGACAATGTGGTGAACGACTTGAAGGACAAAGCCAAAGAGACTGCAGATGCCATCACTAAGGAAGGTATGGCTGAGGGACAGTTCATTCAGTATGAGACAGGACGGGGATATCCCGGGCCCAAATAACAAGCTGCCTCCCTTCTGTCCTAACAGCATTCCTCCCACACGCCAAGGTTCTCTGGGATTTCTTTACCAAGACTTTGCCTGGGTGCTTATATTCCTCCCAGCATTCCTCTGCCATGCCACACATAATACATCACTCAGTCAGCACATTAGGAAAAATGCCTTTCCTATGGTGGCTAGAGATTTTAGAGAGTCATCTCTATTTGTATATGAATACAGTCTCATTAATTCATTTCAGGTTGAACTGCATAGGATGCTGTTCAGATTGCTTTTCTTAGAGGTCCAAGAGAATGCCTTCAGTCAGCTCTCCTGATTCATTCATTCAACAAATACCTGTTTATTGAGGTGCTTAATATGTGCCAAGCATGTTCACAGCACTGGGCACGAACCAAGGAACCAAACAGACTATATACTACTTGAACTTACGAAGCTTACAATCTTGTTAAGAGAGAGACACCCACGCACACAATAAAATTTAAAAGCACATTATATGGTATAGTTAGCAGGTGACACAGAGAACAATAAAGCAGACAGAAAGATAGGGAATGCCAGGGTCTGAAGGGAAGGTTACAGTTTTAGGTAGAATGATTTAGGAAATCCTCACAAAGGCGGCTGTACTGGGTCAAACTTGAAAGTGCTAAGGTTAGGAATCCTGGGGGAGAATGCGCTGGATAGGAGACACAGCACATGCAAAAGCCGGGAGCAGGAGCAGCATGATTAGAAGGCAGTAATCTTGAGGGAGAGTTGAAGGAGACAGGGTCAGGGAGGCTGGGGAGTGGAGCTGGAAGGAGACAGAGCCTGCAATGCCTCACAGGCTGTTGTAAAGGCTTTGGCTTTCACTCTGCATGAGATGGGGTGCTGTTGGAGAACTGTGTGCAACGTGATTCGTCCTGTGTTTGAGTGGGACCACCCTGGCCACCGTAGTAAGAACAAACTGAAGGGGGACAGGAAGGAAATCAGGAGACCAGTGAAAAGGTCACTGCTGTGACCTGGCTAGAGATGATGATGGTGGCTTGTTGTAATGGTAGCAGGAGCAAGTAAGAAGTCACTGGATTCTTGATATATTTTGAAGTTAGAACACATAGGATTTGCTTATGGATCAGGCGTGGAGTATGAGGGAGGAGTCAAAGACAAGGCCAAGCTTTTAGCCTGAACAGATGGAAGGACAGAATTGCCACTGAGCTGGGGAAGACTGGGTGTAACAGGTTTAGAGGAGAAAATAAGGAATTCAGTTCGGGACATAACTTTGTGTCTACTGAGTACCTGGAGAAGTCAACACAGCCAGTTGGAATATAGATGTTGAGAGTTCAGAAGACAGGTCTGGGCTCGGGATAGAAAGGTGGGGGTCACCCACATGTAGTCAGTGTAGTAAGCATGAGACTGGATGAGATCACTAAGAGAGCTAACATAGTTAGAAAAGAGGAAGTCTGAGGACTGAGCCTGGTGGCCACCAGTGTTTAGAAATTACAGAAATGAGAAGCAACCAAAAAGGCAGACTGACAAGGAGTGGCCATTTGAGGCTGCAGGGAAACCATGAGACTGTGGTATCCTTGAGGCCGAGAGAAGAAAGTGTTTGAAAGAGGAGGGAGTAATCCATCGTGTCACATGATGCAGGTGGGTCAAGTCAGAGAAGGACTGAAGACTGACCATTGGATTTAACAATGAAGAAGGCTCTGGAGTTTGTGGAGTGGTAGGAGCAAAATCCCCATCAGAGTGGATATGAGAGATGGGAGGAAGGACATGAGAATGGAAATTAGCCTTGTGAGAAGTTTCCTGCAGGGAGGCATAGAAGAAGGTCTGTAACTGGAGGAAGGCACTAGGGTCTTGAGGATGTTCTTTTCTTTTTCTTAAGGCAGAAGAAACAAAGTAGGTTTGAAAATTAGTAAGGAATGATCCAGTACAGAGCCAAAAAACGGATGAGTGACAAGGTAAATTGCTGGAGGTCTGTCCTTGAACAGAGCGCTCTCTCCCCTGGACTCCTGCTCCTGGGCTCCCGTCTACTTCGTATATTTTCTACAGTTTTCAGTGTGTTCTAACTGTAGCCTTCATAGCCTCCCACTTCAGGGTCACCAGTTTTCTTTTTAAGAGATTTCTTAACTGCTCCTACCTGCTCTCAGCCTAACCAGCAACCTCTGGTGACATAATTCCCGTTGAGTTCACCCACATTTCTCAGCCTTTGATTCTCTTAGATCTCACTACTTTAAAATCCAGTTTTACTTTGATATGATACATTCCTAAATAAGGGTGTAAGAATGAAAATAAGAGGAATTTAGATGCTGACACATTTTAGATTTTTCTCAAAGCTTCTGGAGTCTCCAAAAAGTAAATGCTTACAAAGGGCTAGTTGGGAGGCTACAGTTTCTTTGTAAACTGCTTAGCTTTAATTGAGTGAAGGGAGAGCGGCTGTCAGGTAGCTGCTGAATGAGGCGGGATGCCTTGTCTGGCATCACAGGACTCTGGGCTCCGTCAAGAACAACTGCAGTTTGTGGAATATCAGGAGGCCCTGGAGACTTCCAGAACACTCTCCTGTCCCCCAACCCTTCACACACATCACAGTTGGTAATTGGGAAAGGTAAGGCTTAGTCTCCCACAGATACAAGAATATTTTCTTGAAGAATGTAGTGGCTTGCTACAAACTTAAAAACTCACAGCAAACTCTTCCCATCCTACAAGGGAATGGTAGCACAACAGAAAAATATAAGCATGTATATAAATATTCTGTCATTTCTTGACTTGGGGAATGATGACTTTCTCTGATTTTTGTCACCATGAGATAGATAAGTGACCCAGTTGTCATCAGATTGAGACATAGTCAAATTCTACAGGTCAGCACCCAGACACAAGCGAGAATTTGATTGTACAGAGGACCACCACGCTCAAAGAACCTCTGCTCTGTGCGATACTTAAAGGAGAGCAGAGGGGAGACTCAGTACAAGGGGGCTAGGCCAGATGACTTTCAGTAACTTTAGTAAGTACTCAGGGTTTGTGCTTGAAGAGGTCCCTTGTCCATTTCCTGGAAACTCTCCGAGCCCTGCCTACAAAATTGTGTTCTCATCTGAACATGACTCATCCAAGTTGTTATCTGGTAGCAACATTAGGCATAGGGCTGGTCTTGCAAATGCTTTGATACAATTTTCTTTCCTCCTAACAGCCAAGAAAGCTGCCGTGAATTTACTGGGTGAAGAAAAGAAGAGCACCTAAACCACTGACTGGATGGACCGTTCTGCCCTCTCTGTACCTTCTGTTAGAGCTTGATGTCATATTAGGAACTGTGGTATAATCACTTTAATAATGTTGCCTTGGAAGCATTTTTGATATATTAAAAAAAGGAATGTGTTTTAAGTTTTTGCTTACTTTTACAGTCTGTATACATAGAGAGCATTTTAACTTAAATTTAATGCAATGGGCAGTGTCCAGATTTTTTGAAAATGTATTTTACTTCAGGGTAGGAAAAGACGTTACCATCCTGCAGGAACTATAAACTTAAAAATGTATGTACCCCCCAGGCTTTGTACTTCAGTGGGCTCTCTCTGCATGCCTTTTCTCTGTATGTGTATTTTAGGATAGTCTTTAAGGTTCTCCTTCATGTATTGTACAATTTTGTATTAAATGTTTTTCATGTATCTGTGCGTAAGTATGTAGGGAAATGTTACTGTCTGCTGCATGCATAATGCTCATGGGAGTACCTGCCAAAGGCTGAGGGTTCCATTGTGCTGGTGTGATCTGTAAAATAATACTTCAGGAAATTAATACAAATGCATAATGTTTCAGATGAACAGTTAAGTGATAAATGAGGTGGAATAGCTTTGTAAAGCAGTTTAGTGATAAATGGGGAAATGTAAACATACATCATGCTCCCAGATCCTGAACTAGTAATGTTGTCTTGTAGCTTTTTAAAAATTGGCTGATAACTTTTGATTTGTCTGTTTTTAAGATGCTATAGAGGAAACCCTCCCTGGTTTCACCTTCATAGCTGCGTAACATGTTGATTCAGTCTTGTTTCTTTCCTAGTCTTTATAAACAGTTCAAGGAACCTCCAGAGACTTGCCCACCTCTGATTCACATGTACCTTCTTGTTTTTATCATTAGCAACTACATGCTAATGATGACACCAAGCTCTACGAGCAAGTCTCAGAGAATGAAAGGAAGTATGATATAACCCGTAATCCAGTTGGCAGTGGTTAAGGAATCTGCCCTCACCTTCTTCCCTGGCCTTTAAGGTCAAACACCAGAGGCTTCCCTAGTTTACAAGACAGAATCATTTGTAGTCCATTTAAATGCCTTCATCTTTATGCTTTGTTTTGATAAACTGCATATAACCTCATAGTTCAAGTACAGAACAAAAAGTTAAAATTAATGTCACTAACTTGATTAGCCAAATAGCTTATAGGGACCTTGACAACTTGTCTGTACTGGAGAATCTGAACTTTACACCCACCACACTGCTGGGATTGCTGGGAGCCTTCTGAACCAGACTAAACTAACTAAAACAAGAGTATAACAAAACTAACAAAATTAAATATCCAGGCCTGTAAAATAATTTTGAAGGCAAATAAAGATGATTAATTCTCTTAGATAATGATTAGGTAAAATCATAACAATGTCTCATTATGTAAAAAGTATCACAGGTATCAAAAATAGAGACAGTATCACCCAAATATTATACTAGGGATGAAGGCATTTATTTTTGGCGGGAGGATGTGATGATGGTACAGCATCTTATTATACTTACCTTAAAAAAAACTTTTAGAAAGTAAACAATTCGTTGTTATTGGAAGAAAATCAAGCCTTAGGTTAAAAAAAATACCTCTGGGAGTATTTAAATCCCCTTCCCCATAAATAAAGTATGCCTTTCTTAATGGCAGAAGAATGAAAACAGCAACTTCTAGCATATGAATATATAGTCAGATTGTTGGCATACAGGATATGTAAGTTTTAGTGTACAAAATATCAGGCAAGATGGGGAAGCATAAAAGTTATTTTGCTCGTAACTACTTACAGGCTAATGTAAGTTTAGAAACTACAATATTAAGAAAATTCTGAGTGCAATTTTTTTTAATTCCTATACATTCTGTAAGCTTTTCCTACACATTCTGTAAGAAATTTTAGTTACTGTTTCTGGCACTCAACATGTACATATTAATAACAGAAGTTATGAGTTGAGCAATTCTGTCTCATTTTAGATTTCCCAAATAATATAGTGCCATGGCTAGAGTATTTGAAAAACTAATTGAGCCTGTGTCAAGTGATAAGACAAGCACTTATTTGTACATGAACGGTATTTCAGGGATATGTAAAGTCAACGAATTCCTACAATTCTTCTACCTAAAAGCTTCAGAGCCACAGTTACTGCTACTCTGGGGAGTCTTCTACCTACAGCCTGAAGAAAATGAGCATAGCCTTTAAATAAGTGACCACCTATCCTGAAGATGTGATATATTAAATGGAAATGGATGTAAATAAAATTCCATTATCTTACTGAGTTGTTAGAGTTTCATTTTATTTTATGGGGCTTAAAAAATTTAGAATGATTTAAGCAAAATCTTAAGCATATATACATTTGAATTTTAAACACTGCCATTTATGCACCCCATTCCTCACCTGGCTTGTAATTTCCCACTGGTGGTAAGTACCTGTCAGAGGAAAGACTTTCCCTAAAAAAAACATAGCAACCAAAACAAGTTTCTACCAATAATTAGCACTAGATATAAAAGAAACCTAAACTGCTCCTGACCTCTGAATAACATGAGTTTGAACTGCACAGGTCCACTCACATGTGGCATTTTCTCCAATAAATACATACTACAGTACTACACGAGTCGCGTGCGGCTAGCCGAATGCCCAGATGGAGAACCAGTTAGTTACACCTGGATGTTTGACTGGGAGGGGGTCAGCTGGACTGCTTTCTCTTAACGTAATAGTTGGTGTATAACTGCATGTAAGTGTATTTTGTAGTAGACACTTCTTATATGTGCCTCCAAATCATTCTATACTTTGAGGCCAAGAAAAGAAGAACCTGGGATTTTATTAAAAATACCTACTTCTCGGGGGTGTACTTTGGTTAGCTTCATCTACCATCTGCTTTTACATGTGTCCAGAATCATGGTATTCAGAGTAACAGATACAATTCACACCCTTACCCATCAAATATTACAGTTCTATATAATGCAGCAGGAGAAAGTAAATATATTTGCTAATGACCTTAATTAAAAGCTTTTCTGGCTCCTTACCTTATAAAATCTCTTTGTAACACACAGAGAGAATTAAGAGCAATAAAGAGGTTCTTTGATCAAATCAATGGTTCTCAAACTTGACCGCGCACCAGGATTTCTCGTCAAAGGGAAGGGGGTGGTTGGTAAAATGCTGGCCCGTCCCCAAAGTTCCTGATTCAGGAGCCTGGGGTGGGACTCTAGAATCTGTATTTCCAACAAGGTACCAGGTGATGCGGATGGTCCAGGAACCACACTTTGAGATAAAACCACTGAGTTAGGTAAATACTCTCTTTACACTTAGTATGCAGATGTTTTTAGACCTAGTTGCGCATTAGTCACCTGAGCAGCTTTCAAAAAATCCTGGTATTTGCCTCCCCTACCAGAAGTTATGACATTTATCTACTGTATTCCCCAGTGCCAGTATTTTAAAACTCTTCACGTGAATCTCATACGTGGCCAGGGTTGTGAACTACTGGCAGAAACTACTAATAAGGTCGAGAGTTCCAAGGTCTGGAGTTTCTTAAATTAGTTCACCTGGTGTGTTAGTTTCCTACTGCTGCTGTAACACACTACCACAAATTTAGTGGCTTAAAGCAACACAAATGTATTAGCTTACAGTTCTGGAGGGCAGACATCCGAAACAGGCTGGCAGGGCTCTTACTTCTGGAGACTGTAGGGGAGAATCCATTTCCTTGCTTCTTTCAGCTCCTAGACGGTGTGTGCGTTCCTTTGTTTGCAGCTCCTAGTACTCTGACCTCTGCTTCCCTTTTATAAGGAGACTTATAATTACATTGGGTTCACCTGGATAATCCAGACTACCCTCTCCAGCTCAAGATCCTTAATCACACATGCAGAGCATTTTGCCATATAAACTAACATATTCACAGGTTTTTTTTTTTCTTTTTTGTCGGGAAGGGGGCACATTCTGCCTACCCTATCTACTCTCTGTGGGTATAGAGATTTCATTAGAGTTATCCCTAATATCAAAATAACTGCAGGGTGGGAAGGGATAAATTTGGGAGTTCGAGACTTACAAATGTTAGCCACTATATATAAAAACAGATTTAAAAAAACTTCTTTTGTATAGCACAGGAAACTATGTTCAGTATCTTGTAATAAGCTTTAATGGAAAAAACATGAAAACGAATGTATCTATGTATACGCATGACTGGGACATTATGCTGTCCACCAGAAACTGACACATTTAACTGACTGTACTTCAATTAAAAAAAAAAATAACTGCAAAGAGCATCTTAATGTTAGGTGGGAACTAAAGTAAGGAGTGTGTGACAAAGAATCACCCTATTCCCATTCAAGTAAAGACTAGAGGTTTATCCTCTGGGGATAGTAAGAGGATCTTTAAAGTAGGAGACACAAGGAGAGTTAAGGGAGGGGAAATGCATTAAAAACAGAATTGAGTGATTAAATACTGAGAGCCACTTCCCCTACTCTGTCTTCTCCCAGTAGGCTCCCAGATCTTCAGCCTCATGGCAGCTTTTTCAGACTCCTCTCTGGGGAAAAGAGATCAGCCTAAGAGAAAACATCTCTGATCCTGGCAATTTCTCCCAAAATGTCTCAGCCAGATATCCCTTTGGTGAAACTCATAGTCTGCAAGTGGCATCAGCCCAATTACAAGCTTGCAACAACTGTAAGTATGTTAGAAACATGCCATGGATAGTGGAGTAGAAAGATATGAGGGCATCACTGAGCAACTGAACCAACATCTATAATAATCTTTGGGTTTCATGTTATTTGAAAAAAAATAACAATGAGTCACTTAAACAAGAGTTTTCTGTTACACAGCCAAACACATTCCTAAGTGAGAAACTTTTCCAAAGAATCATGAATCATGTTTTGCAACCCAGTATTTATTTGTAAGTCAAATATATAAACTGCTCTACTATTATGTTCACTATAAAACATATTAACAAAAAACGTTAGAGAGAAAAAACTAAAGTAGCAATTCTAATACTTCTTCCCGCACACAATGGATCATCTGGGTGTGTAACCTCTTTTAAAGGTCTGAAACTCTGGTTTCGTTTATTTTGTAATCAGTTGGAATTGTCTGCACTCAAGCAATAAAAACCAAAAGGAGGATATGAGGCAGCTTATACAATTCACAGAAGAGCTACACAGGCCTCAGGAAGACAGGAATCAGGACAGTTCAATTTGTAGACCATTAGCTCTCTTAGCTCCCATCACCATCTGTACTTGTGTTTCTACTCCAGGTTTAATTCACGAGAAATAATCGACTGGCCTGGCTTGGGTCATATCCTGTGGTCAAGACGCAGTCCTGTAATTAACAGCCCTTCTAGAAGCATATGGAATCAGAAAAGGCAGTTCCCCAAGAGATGCTCAGTAGGCAAAAACATATGGCTGGATAAGGAATCTCTTAAATTTTACACAAAATCATCACTTTTAGAACATATGGCTTTGAAAGAAAGTCAGAATCACCAATCCAATTTAGTTTCTTGAAAACAAAAAGTGTATCTCAAGGTGCTAAAGCATTGTTAATTTTAGAACTCCAATTAAAATAATGTTCTTAAGTCTTCAAAATAAGCAAATCTAAAGTGTAAACTCCAGGACTTTCCATACTTCAACAAACTAGTAATGGACTGAATAGTTTAATTACAATATGTGATTAAGAGAATATGATCTACAGACTGGCTGTTTATAGACCTCCAAGAGGATTTAACCACTGTTTCCTGTTTCAGGCTCAAACTAAGCTTCCACTACCCATTTTATTCCCTTTATCTCCTCTACCAGCATTAATTCATAAGAAAAGCTAAAAGTCCGTTTCAAATTTTATTTCATTAACTTAAAAGATGAAGAAAATGTGTAATTCAAATATCAAACTCATTTATCTGAAACATGTTCACATAAAGGACAAACAGATACAGGATTTCAAGTAACTTATGGTAGAGTTGGTGGACTGCCCACTTAAAAATATTTTTCTTCCGCAAAAACTGTGTTTAAAAGCCAAAAAAAATTTTTTTCTTTTATACTGCATAAGAGCTAGATGCAAACTTCTGATGTGAATTTATTTCATTGTCAACTCTGATGCTGAAGCTGGGAGGCACAAATGTTCACAGTTCAGTTAAATGATGCAAACAAGATGCTTCTGTTTTCTCTCAAATTAGAAGCCTCCACTCATGTCTCTTACAGTAGTACCACATCCTTGATTCTCACACCAGGTCACTTCTTCTTCTTTCCTTTCCCTTTTTTACTTCCCTCTCCTTGCTGAAGACTTTGGTCACCACCACCTGTTTTCTGCGTCCTTGTTTTTAGTTTAGGTATCATTTCCGCAACATACAACATTACTGACTTACCTAGGAACCAGAAGTTAGGCTTAGTGTATAATCTGAGAAATAAGACATGAAAGATCATTAACTTGAACACCATAAAGTTCAAGAAATCATCACCACATCAAGAACATGCAAAGAATTTAAAAGAAAAAATTAAATGACTATGAAGACAGTGATGTGCTCAAGTGAGGGCCTTTGCTGGAGAAAATGTATTAAGAACAACGCTGAAATACTTAAATAAACAAAATCAGAATTTAGAACACTTTATTTGAAGATATTTTGCTCTTGGTCCTAGTAACTGATTTGAAGACCAAAGGAGAATTATCTAACGTAACAAGCTGGAAACAGAGTCAGGATATATCTTTATCCTAGGCTTGGAAACGCAGGGCTTCTTATAACCAAAGTCTTATAACCCAAATCCAATGGCATTAAGCTACAAAAGACGTTACTCATATGCCCAGATGATTTATGCACACATGTACCCTGCTCTGTGTACCAACCACGTCCGCCAGTTCCAGGAGCTGCTTTCAACATACACAGCCTGTCAGCCTTTCTCTTTTTACTTTCTTACTATTATTGTCTTACTGGAAACAGGAAACAACATCTTTTCAACTGTAATTTTTACTTTTATTTTATTGACTGGTCAAAGCAAAAATTTTTGGGGGGGTTGGGTAGGGGAGGCATCTTTTGACTTTAAAGAGATAGTATAGAAAGATGCCAGAGCAGAAAAACCACACTGGAAATAAACTACCCGTCTCTCCTGAGGCAGACCCTTAAGTTTCTAGAAATACTTACCAACCGTAACAGATTTTGGTATGTAATAACCAATTATTTCTATTCAACTAAAAACAATTAAGTTGTCAGTTTGCAGTTACTGTATCAAGAAACAAAATTAATAGCTCAAATTAAAAAATTACAACATATCTCTTAGAAATAAAAAAATTTAGAAAATAGTGACATG